AGTCTATTTAGTCGATGTTAAGAGAGATTTTTGTTAATTTTCAACGTTTATTTGCATAGTTTGTTACATAAAGGTTTTTTCAATTTATGTGAGTTTAAAGAGATCTCAGTGATGCTTAAAAAAGAATAAATTTAACATGAAGATTGAGTGATTTTAAGTCTGGTTAGTCTGACTCTGAGTCTGATTAGTTAGAGTGATTAAATTAGCTAGGTGTATACTGTAAAATATGTTGACTTTTGTCTAAATTTTGATTTGTTGATTTCTGTAAGATTTTCTTATTTTTTATTATCCCTCAATACTGAAATAATCCCTGGATTGACTAAGTATAATCCCGAAATCCCGGGATTAGAAATAAGGACCAGGATCGAATTCCCTATGTATGAGTCACTTAAATACATGAGCCAGTCACAGCCCGGCACGTATGCAGTTTAGGGACTATGGCTGTTTGAAAGGTTTTCTTCCATAAAATTAATGGATTCTAGATTAATTTGACTCAACATTTCCAAAACACATATAATTTTTTGGGAATAATCCGTATAAACTTTGCTATAAATAAAAAATTGTAGGATTACTTACCGAGTGTGCACTTTTCAACGACGCCATTGCTTAAGCTTGTTTTTGTCGCGGAGCGGCGCATCAAACGGCAGGCACGTGTTTCCTGATAAGTTATTTTTCTGCGAAAAATTTGCTGAATTTTGGAGACATCATTAATATAAATATAATTTTTATGGCCATTAAATAATAAATTGTTTTTAGTAGATCCACTGCTCGTTTAAATTCAACAGTTTGTGCAATATCCACTATTGGTCTAGATTTGACCAATCCTGTCGCAGCACGAGTCGACGATGACATTTTACCGTATTATACTAGTCTCATTTAGCGTGTTTATATGAATACGATTGCAATTTTTTTGCCGTTTTATATGAATCCATATTATATGAACCCCTGTTACAGGGGGGGGTCTACTGTATTTGAATCCAAAAAATAAATTACAGATTATATATATTACATAAAACTTAAAATAACAAAATAATAAAATATAATAAGATAAAAAGAAAAAAATTACATTCATATCAGTTTTTGATTATATGGACATTATGCACTATTCTTTAAGTTCTTTTCAATCGTATATTTCCACAGTGTGGGTAATACTGTTGCATCCTTATAGTTCATACATGTTCCCAAAAGGTTACTTCTATAAATTTCAACTTTTTCCAAATTCATCGCTAATGTTGGTGAGTGTACTGATTTTATAATGCTATTTTCCTCCCATTCTTACCACTGATCCTTCACTTTGCACCAATCTAGACAAAGCCGTACAATACTGCTCTTTCTCAATATTATACATGTGTTCTTTAAGACATTTATTAAGGTTTCTGTTTGCAGCCCCTATATATTCTTTTTCCAAACCCAATTATTCATTTTTCTACAGGATTTTGTATACTCCAGCCTGCTCTTCTTTTTTAACTTTATCTTTATCATTCCTTAAAAGGCTATAAATGGTGGGCACTCTCTTGAAAACCAACTGGGAGTCTTTGTAGTCCACTATTTCACTCATAACACTGGGCATATTTTTGTTATATGTAAACTTAGTTATTTTGCTTTTTCTTGTTACTATTCTCTTTTTATTCTCTGTATAACTTCTTATCAGTTTTTCAATTACAGTAGTTTATATCCTAAGAATACAGCAATGTTTTTAATTTTATTCAACTTTTTTATCCTATCATATATGTTGGAACAATACATGAAGACTCTTCTTATTAATACCTTAAATGCCAATAGTTTATAAACGTAGGGGTCATTTGACCAAAAAGGAATATACAGAGTATCATGTGTTGGTTTAATGTATACCATTGTGTTCAAAGATCCATCGTTAAATATGATGTCAGTGTCCAAGAAATGTATTTGTGTTGGACTTATTTGCTCCATTTTAAGATTCAGTCCCTCATTATTTGAGTTGACCTCATCCAAAAACTGTTGAATCTTAGTTTTTGTTTCTCCATAATATGAAGATATCATCAACATACTTCTTGTATAATACTATGTCAGTCATAAAATGTACAATAGTATTCTTCTCCAACTTACGTACAATTAACTCATATAGCAAACTCGATATTGGGCTTCCCATTGGCACACCTTTTCTTTGTGTATATATCTGTCCTTCAAAGCTGAAAAATGACTGGCAACAGATAAGATCTGCTAGTTGTTTCATTTCTTTAGGAAAATTAGTTACTTCCAGTTTTAAGAGATACATGGTGTCTATTAGCGTCTCATAGCATGACTCTATTTTAATTGAAGGGTATAAGTTTTCAAAATCCACAACTGTTCCAATTTCTTCATCCATTAATGATAGATTTTCCAGTTCAGTTGTCAGGCTTTGTTGATTTTTTGTTATGAAGTTATTGCTCTCCAGTTGGCTTGCTAAGAACCTATGCAGGCGTTTTTCAACCATGTGTGTCGGTCCTTTGCATTTCTTGACTACTGGTCTGATCTCTTTTGTTTTCTTATGAGTTTTCACAAAACAGAATAATCTAGGTACACCCGAGCAAGGATTATGGGATAGTTTTGAGGGAAGGCATGTTTTTTTCAGGGTTATAAACAGAAACCTTAATAAATGTCTTAAAGAACACATGTATAACATTGAGAAAGGGCAATATTGTATGACTTTGTCTAGAATGGTGCATAGTGAAGAATCAGTGGTGATACTGGTCATACTTTACAGTAAGTATAGAAAATTGTAAGTGCAAGTTGCAAACTGGATTTCTTAAATAAGTGCACTCGTTTAAGAAATGAATTGACATTGGAATTTTTTCCAATGTCAATCCATCAAATGAATGTACAGTACCAGAAGAATGTAGAGCATTGAGGTGGAAGATAAAAAGTTTTGCTTATGTAAGTCCATTCAATATACCAAAAATATGAAGTATAAAGCTAGAAAATGAAATGCATTTTGAGAATCTGAATAGCCTGATGAGAATTAACATAAATGTGGTTAAATTAATGGATTAAGTGCAAATCCACACAAACAAGAAGTTTGTGTGGATTTGTACTAAGCAAGCAAGAAAAAGAGAAAGAATAAAGCAATCTACATCATTTATATTGTGGGATGGCATCAATGTCCCAGATGGTGATAGGAAGCTCCTTGAAAAAAGCCCCAATTTTGCACCTGATAACAAGTATGGGGAATGCATGGTTTAAATTTTGTCACTTGTGGCACTAATGTCAGCTTGATGTATACTTAACTTTTGGTAGTGAGTAAACAGTGGAAACTGAACAGAAAGTTTTGATCTACTTATAAAAACATGGACTTAAAGAATGTAACAGTTGCTGAAATACGAAAGAAATTAAACCAATTAGGGGACAGTAATACAGAGACAAAGGTAGAACTTTTAGAAAAGTACACAAGCTTAAAATAATAAGTATAAACTGATGCTTTTACAGTTGTTGGCTTTTGTTTTTGATCTTGTAACAGAATTGTGAGGTCAACAATTTAGTTTTAATTACTCAACATCAATTTGTAATATACTTTTGAAATTTTAGATACATAATGATAAACACCAAACAATGTTAAAAATCATTGTCATTAATGTTTGATGATAATTAAAATAGTTTAAAACTGTTTTTGAAATTAATTGTATTTTTAAATGTAACATAATTATAACACCATATTTTTGGCAAAATTCATATAATTAATATTTAGTTGGGTCTCCTTTTATTTGAATAACATCAAACATTATCAGGCATAGTTTGAATCAATTTTTACAATTGTTTCACTTCAATATTTTCTCAAGCATCCATAATTGGAAATTTTAACTTTTTTACTTGATGATGATGCATTAATAAACCAGAATGTCAGGGAATAGGTCAAATAACTGAATTTAATGAACTTGTAGATATGTTTCCAAAAAACATTTTGACTAAAAATTCTTTCATTTATTATAACATTTTAAGGGGTCAAAAGTGTTCAGGTGTTACAAATCATTTCTGAAAAAAGTGTTTATCATATAAATATGTAAGAAAAACTCTACTGGATAAAATATCAAAAACCAAGAAGAAAAAACAAATCAGTTGATTTTGACACGTATGTTTGTGTGTGATATGTTTGTAAATACAGTGAAACCTACTAATGTGACCATCTGCATAGGGTGACCACTTTTGTAAGATGAATATTTTGAGCTGGTCCCTTCTGTAGTCACATTAGCAGGTTTCACTGTATATTCAAATATATACTATATAAGTTTCAAGCTTGTTGTTGGAAAATATTGTAGTATCTATTATTATCTGTTATATTTGATAAAATAATTGATAGATAGATATCTTTTTTATGAATAATAAATTATATCTTTTAAATTAAAAATTTTACTTTATTCCATAAAGATATTATTAATAGTTAATTATTTTAAAAATTTCTCATAAAAATCTGAATGTGTAATATAAGTTTTGATTATTTTTTCTAGTTAAGAGCTCAAGTCTCGGTATTAAAGAAAGCAATTTCTGAAGAACAAAGTAGAAGTAGTGAATTGAAGGTATGAATGCTAATAATAAAGTTAAATAAAGAATAATTTCAATTATGTACTACTACAAATATAAACAACCCAAAGCGGGCTCAGCAGAAAATAATAAACTATAACTAAATCAACACCTGTTCACTCGCTGAGAGATTTATTCTTAACACAAACGTTTTCAATCCAATCAATGGATCATCGTCANCAGCTGTTACGTTCTCTCTCTCTCTCTCTCTCTCTCTCTCTAGAAGTTAGAAGTTAAGATCAGAATTTGAAGTGGAATCACATTTTCATTTAAATTTTGAATTTAATGTCATCTTTTATCATTTTTAGAAAGATGGAAAGTTTTTCAGATTCTTCACTTAAATTTTAATAATTTAAAATAAAATCATAAAACAATGCATTATTAATTTTCAGTACTTTTAGGAATATAAATCTCGAATAGTTGTATTAACCTCTATATATTTATGTAGAGGACAGAATTCAGAATAGATTACTATATCTTTTGATATTTATTATAAATAATTAATGATATACAGATAGATATTCAAACACCTGTAGATATTCAAAGATCTGTTCTATTCTGAACTTTATTCTAGTGTTTCCAATATGAACATGATATGATATTAATGAAAAAGTGTATTCTATCAATTGCTTTTTAGCAATTAATAGTATATACTTTTTCGTTGATGAATTAATTTAATTATTAAAAATAACGTAAATTTTAAACATAAGCCAAACAATCATCATAATGAATTGGGCTATTTTATGGCTACTATTAATAATTAAATTCTAACTAATTTGGTACTAGAGGTAGGCATTAGGTTCAATATCTTATTAAATTTAATAATTATAATTAAATTAATATTTACTAAATTTAGAATATTCTTGAATATTATTAAAAAAATTGGTCTTTGTGATGTTTATAGATATAAATTTTAAACTGAATAAACATTTAAATACTGAAAATAATTTAATTAAAAATAAATTTATCATTCATATGTTAGTTTTGCTATACATTTTTCTTTTATACACAATAGAAATAATGTAAAATAATTAGTTATCCATATTATTAGTTTAAATTATTAAATCAAATGCTTTTGTAGTTGTTAAAATAAACAATTTATAAAGTATTCTAACATTGTAAAATTACTAAATATACCTAACCTTCAGTTATATATAGGTTAGTTTCACAAAACTCATATAAATTGAAATTTCATAAATCAAAATTTATATGTGAAATATGTAACCTTGAAACCTATCCCTTTATTTTCCTTATAAATATTATTATTTGGTATAAGTGATTTTGCTTTACATGAAAATTTTGCAGAATCTACCATGTAAAAAATTTGAAATATTAAACGTTGATTTGCTCAGTTTATATACTGTGTATCAGATATTTGTGATAATACAATTATATATATCAAGCTATTGGTGTTTTATTAGATATTAATAATAATGAATTATTGGTATAATAAATGATTTATTGTATTGTTTGGATATATTAACATATATTAATATGTATAATATTAATATATGTTTATTATATTAATAATAATTATTATTATAATATTAATAAATACTATATTAAAGCGGCATTATTTTAATTAAAATTATACAGATTAAATATTTTAAATCAGAACTAACATTTATTTACAGTCAAATTGGATTTAGATAGTTGTCAGGAAATATCATAACATGAAAATCATTTTGAATTTGAATTAAATATTCTTTTTCTCTCAGGTTTTACTTTAAAGATTATAAAATTCTACATTATGATGATTCTTATTCTCATAATTACATTTGAAGACATACTTTTGTAGAATGTATCTTTTCAAAATGAACTTCATATGAGTGTTAAAATAATATCAAAGAATGAGAATAGTTAAAAGAACTTAAATGGTTTTGAAAACAAAAAAATTTGTTTACAAAATGTAGATAATGAGATGAGAACAGAAAGTGAATGAAACTACCATTAATACCTAAAAGAATTTATAATTGACTTTTAAATATTTATATCTAGATTACATCAGATGGCACGTGTATATTAACTCAGAATAATGGGTAAATTCATTAATGCTACAATGACTGCATATGTTATCATTTCTAATTAACATATAATTTTCTACAATTTATTAAATGTATAAAAACAGTATCTTTTTAACACTGCTACATTCTTATTACTAAATTACTGTTGTTATAAATATTAAACCATTTCTTTCAGACTATTTAAAGAACAGAAGGTCTGAAAAGGACTTTGTTTTTTAAATAATTTTGATGGTCACTTAGTAAAATTTTTGCAAAAATCTGCCTGAAAACTTTAATGGAAATTTGTATACTGCATGGTATCAAAATTGCTTAAAATATAGCAAGGTGTTTACCAACTATTTTTATAGCAATAAAGATATTCCAGCAATCCAGTATATTATTTTCACTAAAACAAATGTAGATATTCTTCTTAACAGGTTTTTCAAAAAAAACTTTGATATAAATTTGTGTATTAAAATGTAATTAAAGTGAAATTATTTAAAACAACAAGACTTCCTTAAGAATATCTGTAACTTTCAATCTAAAATTTAGACATTTTAATATAAACATATGTAATCTTAATAGTTATATTAAAATCAAATTATTGCCAGATTAGATAAAAATTAATAAATATTGATTTAATTATAATTATTAAATTTAATAAGAGATGGTGCATAATGCCTATCTCTAGGCCAAATTACATAGTATTTAATTATTAATTAATAATAGCAGTAATAAAGCCCAATCTAATCTGGCAATTATTTGGCTTTAATTAAGTGTTTTACAAGTAATTTTATCAGTAATTTTATCAGTATTAATGTCAATGAGTTGACTGTTAATGTCATAACTTGACTTTTAAAGGATATTTTATTACTACTAGAAATGAAATATATATTTTAAAATTTCTAGAAAATGAAATTTAATTTAGCTTTGATGTGATGCAATAAAGTCATATACAGTATATACCATATTTCCAGTTGATTAGTTATGGAAATGTTAATTCAAAAAACACTTTTTTAAGAATATTTTTAGTCAGCAGTGCTCATATTTAGTATATACTTTTGCTTTCATCATGTAAACTTAGGCTACTGTTACATTTTTTTATACTTGAATTGTAACTAATAGGCTTAATGCTTGTTTGGGAAAGAGAAAAATACCAGTCATAATTTTTTTGGCTTACCCCTGTAGTCCCCAATGATTTATTCCTTGCTACATGACTGCCTGTACATATTAAGTTTACTGAGAAAACTTCACTAAAAGTAAGATGCATTTATTAAAAGGTAAGATGAAGCAAATTAATGATTAATTAGGATATGGGAATGAAGATAGTCCTCATTGGCAAACTGTGAGACACATTAGTTAATAAATAGTTTATTGAGGAAAAATAAACTTTAAAAATGTTACTGGTGGAAACAGTTGCAACCGCAATCTTCCATCTAGGTAATCATTTCTGTCAAGATAAGGCCAGAGATTGAATAGTTTATTGTGATAGTAACACTTGAGATGATCATAAACAGAAATTGATTATTAAGTAATGTTGATTGGTTTAGAAATTTATGCTTGATAGTTAATGGCTTCATTGAAAAATTATTATTATTAAATATTAATTATATTTTATAATAATCATTTTCAGTTTAATTTCTAATATGCATCTTACAAAAATAATAAAAATTATATTTTATATAAATTTA